GCTGGGCGCTCCCCCCCTCGCCTGGGCTGCGGAGGGATGCGGAGCACCGGTTAGCACGGAGCATCCCCGGCCCTGCACCTCTCCTGCAGCTCCCCCCAATGCACCCTGCTTCCCAGGGATAAATGCTGCGCTTGGTTTCTGACCCTCAACTCGTCAAGGGAATAAAGGTACCAAACCAAATTCAATGCCATCCCCAAACTCAGACCTGACCCCAAAGCCGTCTCCATCCCAGCACCTCTATTCACCAAGCAGCTTTCCCCCAGCCTCGAGGGCTGGAGGCTTCTCCAGAAGCTGGTCCCCTTGGAAGGGAGCAGGTTTGTAATAGGGATATCCTTTCTCCCCGCTTTTCTTTAAGCCTCAAAGTTGAACAGCGAGAATTAATATCCCTTTGCCCACCAGTAGCACAGAGCCACCTTTCAGGGGATTCATTATCCCTTTGCAAGCACAGACATGGCCCTGTGCAAAACTGATGGGGAGGATATTGCTGCTAGCCCAGGGTGGCAGGCAGAGCTAAAGCCACTGAAATTGGCTGCAGGAAGGAAACCTGTTAAGGCCAAAATGTTATCACATGGGTAAAAACACTCCAGCAAGGACCAAAAATGCTCTGTTAGGTCCTGGCTTACTCCCTTAGGTTCTTTGCCTCAGTTTCCACAGCACAGAAACCGGGATGGTCCTTCCTCTCCCCAGAAAGGCAAAAAATGGTTAGATTCAGCAGGCTGCTCCCTCCCTCTTTCCTGCTGCAAACCTGATGGAAATCAAAGCACCATTGCTCTGGGTTTGTTATCACATTTTAGGGGTTTGCTCCTATTTCAGGGGAGAAAATCCAGCAAGTACCATCGTAGGAGCCTGTTCCTTGTGTGGCCGGGCACCCACGGGCAGCCTCATCTGAGCGGAGCAGCTGCAGGAGGCCAAAATTCAGGTTCACCCCAAGCAGGGACATCCAGCAGGGAACTGGGACACGCTAATGTCACTGCTGTCACCAACCCTGAGCAACCTCACACAGAGCAGCTGAGCTGCCCAGGCATTGCCCCAGTCCCAGGGCTGTTTCAGCTGGAAGCAGCTGAGAGCAGCCAAGACCTGCCTGAACTGAGTCCTAAACATCCAGCTGCCATCGCAGGCACCCGTCAGACACCCCAAGGTCTTTGCAGCAATTCCCAGGACTCCTGGGCCCCCTCCACCCCCCTTCCTCGGCTCCCGTCTCCGAGCACCCGTGCGCCGAGGAGCCCCGCGCCTTCGTTCTGTCACTGATTGCAGACCGATCCCAAGCGGCTTCGGCGGCGGCTTCCCAACAGGAGCTGCAGCATCCCCAATTACACGTGTCAAGCGGCGGAGAGAGATGCTGATGTGACGGCGCGGCCCCCCGGGACGGGCTCTGCCCCCTGCCAGGTGCCGTCTCGACACTTCGGTAGAGCCAGACGGATGGCGGGGAGGAGGCGCCGGGGGCTTCGCTGCAAGGAGCAGAGAGGAGGAGCGTCCCCGTGCTGGGGACCTGCTCTGATGTCACCGTCCCGCAGCAGGGCACGGTGCATGCAGAGAAACCAGCCCGGGCTCCCTCACAGCCACCCAGGCAGAGGCTCTGGCCACGCTGGGGGAACTGGTGTTGCCCTGCATAAACCGGGGTGCTGGGTGTCCCCATGGTGGTGCAGTTCAGCAGCGGTCCAGCCACGTCCCCCGTGCAGCCCCCAGTCCCTTCCGGAGCAGGGACTTGATGTGTTCACAGGGAAGCGAGGGCAGGATCTACAGCACCCAAGGGCCAGAACCATCTCTGAGAGCGCCCATCTCCTTGGGATTTCCCACCTGGAGACATGGGAATGCGCAAGCAGCTGGATGGGGTGTCTTTCCCTTGCAGCCGCTGGAGGGAAAGCCGCCAGGCTCTTCCCAAGCCAAGAAAATCAGTACTTGGCAGCCTCTGGTCGGCTCCAGGTTGCAGTGGCAGGGAAGTTGACGGGAACCGGGACGCATGATCAGGAGAACATGATGCTGCAGGACACAGGGCACATAAGCGGCTTGGAAAAGCTCATAAAAGGATTAGCAGCCGATATGAGCACGAACAGCATCTGCGGTTACACTGCCCGGATAAAACCTGTTGGAAAACCAGGCGGGAAAATCCCCCGGCGCCCGGCACCCACGGCATCGCGCTATCACCATCCTGGCCAGTCACGGCGCTGGCCCGGCACGTCCTCCAGCAGCGCCCGCCTGCCCGACGTCCTCCACGCAAGGCGCATCCGACGGATGCTGACCCCATCTCCTCTCCTATCTCGTTTTTTTCCGGAGAGCCAGGAGCTGTGGGAGAGGCTCTGTGCACTGAAAGGCACCCATGGGTGCAGCCCGTTCCTGCACCGACTCGGTGGCCAGGACAGTCGTAACAGTCCGGTTTGCAGCTCCCCTACACCAGGTGCAAAACGCTGGTGCTGGAGAAGCCCTTGTCACTTAAACCTGCCACATTCATGGACAGAGCAAACCAGGGCAGTGTCTGCACTCAGCTCCACACGCAATTCCCACCCAAGAAGTCCCCAGCCCTGCTCCAAGCAAAGCAGTCCTGGAGCTGGAGCTTCCCCACGGCCAAGGAGCCATGGACAAAAGCTGGACCTGGAGAGGCTGTGCCAGGAGAAACTGCTTCCCATGAGGACCATCAGGCAGCAGGACAGTTTGCCCCGAGAGACCCCGTCCCTGGCAGGCTCCATTGTGGAGACCCCTCCATGGTGGGATCTCCATCCTTGAAGGCTTTCAAAGCCCAAAGAGCCCTGAGCTACCTGTGGTGACCCCACAGTTCAGAGGGGGTGGCAGAACGAGACATCTCCCAAGGTCCCTTCCCACCACCGCGGTCCTTGGATGTCCCCCTGCCCCTCCAAGCCCCACAGAGGGGACAGTGCTTAGCTCAATACTTCCCTAGCGAGCAGAAGAGCACCAGGCTGCTCTGCCAAGGCCCTACATCCCCCATGGATACAAGCAGCCGGCGTACCAAACCTTCCGTGTTGGATGAGGAACAGACATTTGTGGGGAGCTGGGAGCATCACCATCGATGCCACCATCACTCCAAGGAGCTGGAGATGGAGCAGGGAGGTTTCAGGGAATTCAGTCCGGGGTGGAAATTGCTCTTCTCGTGCAGCACTAGGACTGTGCCGGGTGGTCTCTAGCACTGAAAGATGCCCAAATTACCCATGGGAGATTTCAGGAGCAATCACCAGCGAGATAAGGTTTCTCCTCACCTCCGGCTCTCGGAGATTGCTTTCCGTGAAGCCGTGTGTCTTTCCCGTGCGCCCGGCCTGCTTTATGCAGCCACGGCTGCTCCTGCCGCTCGCTCTATTGAGAAGGGGGTGGATCTTTTCCTGCATACGCATTTATTCGCTGCAAAGGCGAGCTGTGAAAAGATTCACCAGCACCACTAACCACATGCATAAAATCCCAGCAAGGAAGAACAACACACAGGGAGCAAAGGAAAAGGTAGCGTTCGGCAGCAAATCACTGAAACAGTGGGATTTCCACCACCACCATCCACAAAATCTCCTGTGTTTGGGGAAAGGGAAGAGGGAAATCCACCCATGGGCAGGATGGGGACCCCACAGGACTTGGGCAGCGCTACGGTGTCCAGTGAGCCGGTGTCAGTGCCAGCACCCTTAGGTGCCGGGCACCTTCCTGGCACGGCCAGCGGTGCTGTGTCCTCCTGCCGCAACGTCCCCGTGGAGGATGTGTCCCCACCACTGAGCCCTAACGAGCCTGGACAAGCCTGTGCCTCCGGCACTGCCGGAATGGGAGAGAGGAGGCAGCAAGGATGAGCCAGGGCTGGAGATTAATGAGACGGTCAAGATGAGTTCAGCGCGAGCTGCAGCGCCGGCACCCACAGAGGCTATTTCCTTTCACAGACAAAATGCATTTAAATGATGGTCTAATCTATTGCCTGGAGTGGGGACAGGACAGGCGCCTCCACTCCTTGTCCATAAACTAATTGTGCCAGGAGAGGGGCTAATTGAGCTGCTTGCCGCCCAGCTGGCCACACTGTGCCCGCGGGTGCCGGGCACCCGGAGCCTTCCTCCCCGCTGCGGCTCCGGGATGGAGCGGAGGGATGTGCCAGGGCTTGGGCACCCGGGTGGAGGGAAGAGACCTGCAAAGCTCTCACTACCATGGGGCTTGCAAGGTTGTCCCCATTGGGGACCATGAGGACACTGCCACATCTGGAAGGCAGAGGGGGTGGAGGAGAGGGATGGAGAGAGGGAAAAGGGAGGAAGGAGGTAAATGGATGGATGCATGGATAGCCAGGAAAAAAAAGACAGGGTAGATAAGGATGGATAAACTAGCAGACCAGGTGGAGGATGGATACGTAGGTGCATGGATGGATGCATGGATGGATGCATGGATGGCCAGCCAGCAAGACAGAGTGGATAAGGACAGGTTAAGCAGCAGTGAAGGGGCAGGATTTGTATGTAGGTACATGGATGGATGGATGCACGGGTGGATGGGTGCATGGAGGCACGGATGGGTGGAAACACGGAGATAAGCAGCTAGGAAACAGCTGAGCAGTGAGAGGAGATCTAGGGGCAAAGGAAGAAGAGGGGCAGGATAGAGAGGAGGATGCAGGGGGAGCACAACAGCTCCAGGGCTGATGCACAGCTCTCGTCCCCACCACATCCAGTCGGGGCTGGGGGAAACATGGGTTAAGTCCTGGTTGTTGGGGCTCGTTGACATCGATCCACGGATGCGAACAGGATTTGCAGGCGCCTGACCTGCATTCCCGGCACTTATTATTAGGCCGGCGCAGGGAGGACCATATGGCCCATCCATGCTCCGCAGCGCGGCCCCGGAAGCAAGAAGATCTCAGCCCTGCTCCGGGCTCTGCAGGGCTCCCCATGCCCACTGTGGGCGAGGACCCACAGCAGCACCAAGGCGGGATGCGATTCCCACATCTCCCATCCCAACTAACCCTCCGACTCCCTCAAGGGAGCGCAGCGGAGCTGGGACACGCTGGAGCGGGGCAGGCCGAGAGGCAGCAGCGAAGGCATCCGAGATGCACAAGGGGCTGCAAGGGACCCCCGGGCCGGCCACATCTGCCCAGCCAGATGTGCCCCCGCGTCGGCCCTTAGCCGCTCGGCCCCGCGCGGGGCACGCGGGGACAGGGCGAGCGAGGGAGCCGGCAGGCTTGGCCTTGAGCCTTCTCCGCACGTCCAGGAACCTGGAGCAGAAAAACGCCCTTAGGGACAAGATAACGCACCCAGCTCACAAGGCCAGGGCAGTGTCTCATGGCCCCCTGTGCTCCTGCCCTGGTCCTGGCTGAGCACTGACAGCACTCGTCACACCAGTGCACGGACATGTCTGCTCTGCAAGAGCCAAAGGGGGCTCCTGGGCCCCGGTATCCAGCAGGACTGACAGCTCTGAGCACAGGCTGATCCGCAGCCCCAGCTGTTTGCCATAGGGATCATTTAGCTGCACTCAGGGGGGCATCTTTATCCCGGCTTATCCCGTGGGATGCGCCGGGGGGCTCCCGCAGCGTATATCCCCACTTATCCCAGCTGCCATCCCAAAGATCAGCTAGAAAAGTGCTGGAATGATGACAGAGGGGAGGGGAGTAGGAGAGTCTCTGGAACACAAGAGAGATTTACTGGGTGAATTTCTTTGGAGAGGGATTGGTACCTGCAGGTCCCCTGGACCGCAGGGCAAACCCAGACCAACGAGCAATGCAGGGACAAATCCCTCCCCATCCATCCACCCCAGCACCTTCCTAGTTTTCCCTCACTGCCAGAGCTGTCCCGTTAGGGTGTCCCCATGCCCAGGGCCCTGAGGATGGACCTTGCCCATCTCTGTCTCCTCTCCATCACCTCCCGCCTCACCCCAGCTCCTTCAAGCCGGTGACTCCAAGCCCTCGACCGCCCGCTTGTCACCCTCATTGCTTCCCCTCCGGAGGGACATAACAAAATCCATGCAGGAATAAAGCAGGAGCGCAAAGCACAGAAGAGAAGCGGGGCACCTGGCAGACACCCCCGAGACGCCGCCAGCCGCCGCGCGCTTGGCCGCGAGCGCCGCCACCGCCGCTCCCCTCTAATTGGAACTCAATTAAGTGAATAATTGTTACAAATGTAAAATTACCCTCTACCAGCTCGTGGCAATGAGATGCCCCGGCTGCACGCGAGGGGGCTGCAGGGATCGGGGGTCACGGCCACGCTCCTGGGTCCTGCTCGGGTCCCAGGCTTGTCCCTGCTCCCGAGCATCAGCTCTGCGGTAGCACCCCCGGACAGGGCTGTAACTGTCACCCTGTCTGGGGTCCCCCAAATCACCGCAGGGCACAGATCAAGTTAGTGTTGGCCAGGAAAAATGAATCAATGCTTGCTGCCCACAGCAGTGCTGGCGCAGAGTGGATTCTCTGCTATCCAATACAGGGGTGTGACCCGCCTTGTCGGCCCTGCTG